GTTAAGTCTCCTCCCCCTGGCTGCCACACTCAAGTTTCACACGCGGTGGCTGCTTTCATTACATACACATTAATTCACATATATGTTAACAGGCACTGCAACACTTCCCCTGGCTGCCACTTGGGAGCACATCTAAAGCCCATTTTGATGTTGGAGAAGGTATTGTAATGATACAGCGATGGGTGATACATCTCCCAGAACTGTCAGTGCAACACTGACAGTGTGAATTTTTGCTGCCAAAACCTGTGCAACTCACCACCAGCCTTGCTCCGAGCTACAGATGGGGGAGGACTGAAAGCGGTTCTGAAGATGTTTGTGGAAAGTTTGAGGATTTTTAAATACTGGAATATTGCAGTGGTTTGGTGCAGGAGGAATGTTCCAAGCAAATAGAGGTGGGTACAGTAATTGTTGAAGGTTATTTATCACAACCAGACCTAGGAGCCTGGGATTTTTTTAAACCACTGTTCAGCTATGGTAGGGAAGGTCTAAACTCTTAGAGTCATCTAGGAGGCACAATAGTTTGAGCCTGCTTTTTGCAATTGTCCCTCCAGGCTCCCCATGGAGAGGAGAGAAGAAAGCCCCATCATTTGCTCCCCAAGTGTAACTTCAGACAGGTGGAAGATGGCTAGAGGAGGAGTGGAGAAAGAGGGGCATGGGCAGGGGGCAGGAGTAAGCCTGCTCTGGGACACAAGTGGAAGATGTTTCTGTGGGGCTACACAGCAATGTTCTACAGGAGACTGAAGCTGGTAGCTGGGAGGCATGGAAAAGCAATTATGTTTTAAAAAAAAAACCCTTGTCACTCACAGATTACACCAAAATGGGAGTCCTTGCATACAGGGCCTGTCATGGATGGAGGAAAGTATTGATCTTAGCACATCAGAAAAATTAGGGCACAGCTCAAGAGGAATGTTTGTGCTGTTAGGTAGGAGTGATGTGTCACAGCTGAGGTTGTGGGGCTGGAAACCTGGCCAGTTTAAGAAAGGATCTGATGTTCTTGAGCATCACATATTAAACATGAGTCAACAATCCCAGACTATCGTAAAAAATGGCTTCTTCTAGTGTATAAACAGGAGTAGATCCTCTGGGACTTAGAAACAACCCTTTCTCTTTAAAACATGTTTTCAAGGCCTCAGCTGGAATGGGGTGTCCAGTTCTTAGCATCACATGTTGGAAGAAGAGCAGGGGGAAGCTGGGTAGGCAGGGATGGCAAGATGTCTCAGAGCTGTATGGAATGTGCAACCTGTGAGGGGCAGCTGAGGAGTTCAGAGCTCTTCAGATCCTGATGGGAGGTGTAAAGGGCCATTTTCAAAAACACAGGCTTCTGTAGCAAGAAATAATTGAATTCTTAACACAGAATTCTTACTGTGTCTGTGATGGATGGGAGATAAAACAGTGGCTTAAATTGCACTAAAGGAGACAGAATAAACAAAGAAATAAGTGTACACATGGTGAGACACTGAAACTGATAGCGCAAGAGGGTCATGGAGTCTTTGCTAGTGAAGGTGTTGGAGGTTCAGTTTAGGTAACACAGGCCCACATCCTTTGGTTTTGAAAGCCTTCAAAAACTTTTCTGTTCCCTGTTTTCCTATATCCTCTTAAGACTGTTGTGTGTGTGGATTCTATACTAGAGACATAGTTTGGTAAAGCAGTAGGTGACTGGAGCACATGAAATCTAAAATGTCAGCTGAAAACAACTTTTTGAGTAAAGTGTGAGGAGTTAAAACTGAGACAGAGGGCTAATAATGTAAAATGAAAACTGTAAAAAGAAATTAGTAGATATGTGATATTTGCCTTGTTCCTCAATGGGATGCTTTCTTGGTCAGAAGGAAGTAATTAATGTGAATTTGAGGCTAAAGGCATCACTAACCTTCTTGTAAACATTGAGTGGCCTTTTTGAAGGTTCAGCCTGCAGAAACTGAATCCTCAGGAGTGCCTTTTCTTGAGTGAGGGACAAAGAAGAAAGAAATGTTTGCTTCCTTTGCACAGTTGCCTATAGGGCCCTGCCTCATTTTTCTTGAAGGACAGGAGCTGTCTGTATAGGAAACAGCTGGACCTTGTTGAGAAAGCACACAAGTAAATAACAGCAGAGAAAGAGGAAACCTGCAGGTCAGCCAATTGATGTTTAAAAAGTAAACCAAAGGTGTGATATTGGCATACTAGGATGGCCAGAAAGCAGGTGCAAGAGAAAGGATGAAAACTACTACCTGTCCATATAATGCACATAAGTCTGAGAGCATTACTTGATGTCTGGGGAGCAAGTATAAATTCCTAGAGGTCAGGATATGAACACTTTATAATATGGTCAAAAAGTTGGTTCACTGAAAGTAGTGATTTATTTACATCAATAGACTGAGAAGGATACATGAGCATGTTTTCTATTCAGGTAAGCCAGATAGAAGTAAGCAATAGAAAGCAAAATTAGCAAGAAAAGGATGCATTCAGTGGAAAAGTGTCAAGTGTATATTTAAGACAGTGGAAGAACAGAAAAGTGAAAAACATGTGATATGAGATAATAATAATGATGTCACCTTGTAGAAAACACCTTAAGATACCTAATATATCCCTAAAATATATATGAGAGTATATAGAAAAGGTACTTGGACTACTTATGATATTTTTGTTTGGGTACTGTCAGCATTTCTAGTTGGTAGGCTCTGGGGCTGCTGCAAAGCCTGTTGTTTCTGATTGTTCAGTAACTCCTTGGTAGTGAGGGTGTCTGTGCAAATGCCCAACCTCATATGCATCGAGCATGCAAGAGTTGGCTGACCCTGAGATAAGTTTGTCTCGACATCCGTCAGTTGCCGTCAGCCCTGGAGGAGTGCAGATGACCACAGACTTTTCCATAGCTGGCATTTGGAACATGGGATCTCACATCGGAGAGTGCTGCCTGGGTAGTGACACCCTGTCTGGAGCTTTGTGATCTGCTGTCCTCAAGGATTTCAGTGCACAGCTGAACATCAGCTTTGCTGGGCTAGTTCTTTACTTCTTTGATGTAAAGCTCTCCCTGCATTTTACATTTTACATGTTACTCTTCTCTGGAAAGTCAAGAAATACATCTAGAGAATTTGGTGCACATTTGCCCTCATGCCAGAGGTCAATTCAGTTGGCTTGTTCAGTTGCTCAGCTCCTTCTCATTTCAGCATGGAAGATACCTTGGGATCATAGCAGTGTGAGGAGTCAGTGTAAGGATTTGGTGTGATTCATTTTGAAAAGACCAATTGAAGATCTGCTAAACCAGCCTGCCAGTGGGTGAAATGAAACTCCCAACACATAGGGTTTTGTGTCTTGAAAAAAACTGAATCAGATAGAAAAAAAAAAAAAAATGTGCTGAGGCTCCAGCCCCAAACTCATTTCCCAGCAGGGTTTTAACCATGTGAACAAAACCACCTCTCCTCTCAGTCAAAAAATGTCATGCCAGTCCAAGGCCCTTGAAGGGAAAATGCAGGAGAGCTGCTACAATTAGTGTGCAATCTCATTAGCCTGTACCATTTCCCCCCTGTAGGCACTTGCTTCATTTGATTATAGCAGTAAAGATATAGTGCAGTTTGAAAAGACAGACCAGTCCTGGATTATTTGAGCTCACAAAACCTGTCCCCTGTGGATCAGACACCTATTTCTATTGTTTCCTTAAGGCAAAAAGCCATCAGAAGTGCCTTTATTGGCAGCAGTTGCTTCATGCCGGGAACCTGCCAAGATTAATATACACAACATTCCCCTCCCCACCTTCTGCTTTCAAAAAGTAACCAGCATAAAACTATTTTTCAATTAGTACCCAGTCAGAAACCTCATGTTGTCTGAAGTTGTTACTAAGAAGACAGTGGTTATTAAACTGCGTGTTTCAGTAGAACTTTGGAAATTATACAGATGTGTTTATTTTCAGATGACTGGTTAATTTTGGTTTGAATCACTAAGTAATCTGCAGAAAACATATGTAGCAAGTATCTTAGGTATAATTTATTCATTGTTCATTTAATTATTCGGTTTGCCTTCATTTCATGCTGTCAGGTTTTTGGCTGCTGTTATTAATAAGAGCAAACTGAAAACCCATGCAGCTGAAGATATAATTTCTTTAGCATATCTCAAATAGGCAGGGGATTAATCTTTTGTTGAAATGGATTGATTTACTGCAACTACTGTCTAATGCACTACTATAGAATAAGTTAAACCTTAGAAAAATTTTAAGCACTCCTCTGAGGAAAGCACATTCAAGTAGTTTGCAATATCTATGTAGAATTATCTCAATCTTCTTTGGTTGCTGGAATGAAGAGAAAATATCACTTCTATAAATTCATCGTCATTTCAAACAATAAACTGAAACAGTATCAGTTAAAGCTAATGAAGAAAAGCAGCACTGTAATTTGTCACCTCTCAGTTAGAGATGGTGAGTTAAAATGTCAGCGTATCCCCATTTGCCAGCTATTGCAGACTGACAATAGTTACACTCCTAACTAAACACATGCAAAAAGCCCTCACCAAGACCCATACTAGTTTTGCCAGCATTGGTACAATTCATTTTTGACAAAGTGCTATTTTGTATGTTTTTATCTATAAAATGTTTTATTTTCTAATATTTTCCCTAAGTCAGAATTTTTTTATATAGCTATTTTTGCATCATAAATTTAGAGACCTAAACATTCTCAGGAATGTAGTCTTACTCTGAGACTGTTCCTTGGTCTGGTCTTTGGACAATTTCACTTTAAAAAAGTTATTGTTTTCTGGTTGACAACTTTCCTATCCCAGGAAAGACTCTAGCAGAGATTATGTACTGTGTAAAATCAAAAATAGTTCTGGTCTTTAAAGTCATACAAACAAGCAGAGGCATCATTTTTTCTCATCACATAAATCTTGTGGAGATAGAAAACTGTAAAGATTTGGGATAAAAAAAAATTATTTACAAAAATGCTGCACATTTTTTCCCAAGAAAGTTTTCACTCTGTCTCTCCAAATGTACAGTTGGTGCTACTGTTTACTGCTCTAATTTGAACTGATTTATTTTGTAGCTATCCATTGAACAACAGCGATCTGCATCCGTTCAACATTGAGGAGAATGGTGGAACTCCATATACCACAAAAATGGCTGCAAGGCACCACCACCACCATCGCCATCACCACCACCACGCCAATTATGGTGCCCTTGCTCCAGAAAGCAAGGATATTGTTTCTGCAGTTCCAAATCCAACCAGTAAGTCCACTGCAGTGATTGTTATTTCAGTGATTGGGCTGCTTTCAGGTTTGTCTTGGGCAAGGAGGTAAAGGAAAGGAAAGGAAAACAGTGTGCCTTTTGGTTTTTCTCCTGGAAGAATGTGCTTCCTGTTATTATTTGCTAGCTTTGTAGCATGTGCAAATGAGACAAGATTTGCAATTTCCTTGGTTTGCTACAGGGTTTTGGTGTTAGGTGGGTGTTCTATAGCTGAACAAATTCCTCATTAGTCACAGATACTGACTCTAACCACTTGGCACAGTCTCCTTTTTCATTGTTACTATTTGTTTGTGTAGTTTCACAAACCTACCCTCATCTGCTATTGTCTTTTGCTGATCTGTCCAGCTGGCCCTGAGTCCTCCTTGTTTGGATCCTATTTTCGTGTCTGGGCACAGGCAGCAGAAATTTTGGAGCCCTGGACATACAGCATCTTGCTCTTAGTTTGGGTAATCGGAATAATTGCAAGCTTTAGCTACCAAAACTGGAATACTCCTGCTTCCTTAGTGGAGAAATTCTTGGCTTGTAGAAAGTAGCGAGGAGAGAAGCCTATCCATTTCTGATGCAGTCTTGGGAAGTTTGGGTGGAAGTCTCTGCTGCTGAACGTGTACAGGCATTTTTAAGGGTACGGAGCTCGGCCAAATATTTTACACAGGAAATGGAAGAGAAACAGCCCTGTCATTGAGCAGTCCTACTTCCTGCTCTCCAGATTTACAATCTCTGCACTGTGAAGTGTGTAAGAATATCAGATGATGAGCAAAACAAGATATGATCTATTATATTCCTTGTCTCTAGGAAATGAGTTCTTCCCTTGCCCAGTTTTTGCCTTCATAACTGTAAATGATGCTGAGATAACTATCCATTATGGAATCTTTCACCCTGGTCAGTTAATCTGATAATTTTCAAATTCCTGAAACCAGGGTCTTGGACTGTACTGGGTGACCCTGACTGTAAACTGTCCCACCTCAGCAGTATCGCACAGGCATCTACCTGGACAAGCACTTTAATCAGACCTTGTTTCAGAAGATCAGAAACATTTTCTTTCATTTTCTTTCCCCAGGAGAGTGTGATAGTTTTGAGGTATTTGCATCCTGGCCCGGCTGTGCAGTCCCTGGCCCCCGGCAGGGCAGTGCAGGCTGTGCTGGTGCGGGGCTGGGGCGGCTGCCCTGGCCCTGCCGCGGCCGGGCGGTCGCAGGTGCTGGGGGATGCTGGCAAGGCTCTGCTGGAAAACCTCTCCCGGCTATCAGCCTGGCACCGTGGGAGGCGGTGACCTTTCTGGGGGGTGTGCCAGCCCATATTTTCCTTTCCCAAATTAGAGCTGAAGCATGCCAGGAAATTCATTCCAAGCCAGCTATGCTGCTGCTGAGTGTCCCGGCCCATGAAGCGCTGCTGCCCGGGACTGCCACCCAGCCCACAGCTCCGTGCCCCGCTCCAGTCCCCGCTGCAGCTGCTGGTCTCCAGCTGCCCACCGCCCTGCCCTGGGCCCACCTGCGGGACAGGAGGCAATTGAAAAAAACAGCAAAAACCACACAGCACAGGGTGTTTACTCCAGCACTCTCAGGTCACACAGCTTTCCTGCTTCTCCTTATTGCAGAAATAACCTTAGGAAAAGCCTAGAAGAGCACAAGGGCAAACGTCAGGGTCAGTTTTTGTGCCCAGCGAGAGGAAACTGGGGCCCAGGAGGCTCCATGTCCTCCTCCCTCAGACATGGGGAGAGTGAGCTGCCTTCCCCAGACTGGCCCTGGTGGTGGGGAGCAGCCTCCCTGGCCTGTCTGCCATGCTCTGAAAGGGACTTCAGAAGCCATGGCATGTATGGGTGGCACCTGTTGCTGGAGACAATTTCACCTTTCTCTTCACTTTTTCTGCTCGCTACTAACTGATGCAGGAGAATCGGTGCTGGTTCCTGCCCAAAGCCATTAGCACCGAATGCCAATTCCCAGTTTCTCTAAGGGAGTGGAAAGGGATGGAGCACCTCCAAGGGGAGGCTGTGGTGCAGCCGTGCTGACTGCTCCCAGCTGAGCTGTTTAGGCAGCTGTGCATGCCGTGTCTCTTAATGCCGCCGTGCTGCCCCACTGCAACCCATTGCCGATCCTCTGCAGCACCTGTGCATCCGGCTGGAGGGGCAAAGCTGATTTCCCTTGAGAAGCCAGTTCATGGTTATATCTGGCATGTTTATGCTGTGAAAGCAGTGGCAGTCTGGGTAGGAGCACTTCCCTTAAAACAGAATCAGACTTACTCATTTGCAGCTTGGGGTGCTGGGTTTAAGTGCCTTTTCAAGGTTGGTGCTCAGAGGACTAGGGTTGGTTTGTTTTTAATGGTTTCATTAAAAATACTACTCAGGCTATTTCAGCTGAGAAAACTCTTGTTGACAGTGTGTGGCAAAGGTTCACAGTGCATGTACTGAAATGGTTAGGAGCATACTGGCCTTTGGCTGTTTATGGAGGACATGGCACAGTGTGTGGGGCAAGAAAAGTCAGGCAGAGAGGAAACACTATCAGCAGTCTGCCTGAGGAGCGTGAGGACATGGGGGACTGATGTCTGGCTCCAGGCTGTGTGGAAAGGCCAGTACCGGGAAAGTGTTTCTAGGAAGTAAGTGGTCACTAAACTGGGGATGCTCTCAGGAAAGAGGGTGCTTGTGACCAAAATATCTCAAGTGGAAATGCCTGAAGAGCAAAAAGATCTCATGGGGCAAATATGCTATCCTAGCAGAAACTTCCCCATAAGGCTGACAGAGGAGACACCAGCACTTAATCTACCTTGTGCTGTCCCATGGGATCACAGGTGTTTTGTGACTTGTTCCAGTTCCTATGGACTGGACTCATCACTGAGCTCTGAGATAGTTTTGAATTCATCTGAAGTGGAACAGGGAATGACCCACTGATATGTACCCACCATCAGGCTGAGCGGGAGAAAGGATCTGCCTTTCTTCCACTTACATCTATTCTGAGAAATACTAAAATTCCAGTGCAATTAGCGGGACATGGGCAGGAGAGAAGGAGACAGCAATGTGCCCAGCCAGGGTTCCTTTAAATACTAGTGCATGTTTCCCAGCAAACACAGAGCACAGGACTTTGTTACAGAAACAAACAGAAAACAAACCAGGGCCAGACCTGCCTGATTTTTCACATTCCAAGTAATTTGTCTGCTTCAGTTACTGGAGGAAGTGAAATCCAGTGAAACAAATCTGACGTGTGTGTTTATGAAGGTGTTCAGCTCAGCAGAAGATGTTGTTTTCCTGCATTCAGCCTGATTCTTGTACTCACAAAGCTACTCTTCACCTCAAAGCTATCGTACACAGATCACATCTTGTGGTGCAGCACATCTTCCCCCAGCATATCCCAGAACCCCAGTCCCACTCTATGCAACAGCAGTTGGCCTTACAGGGAAGAGAGGCTGAGCTGCTCGCTGAGCCTAATTGGCGTGGCAAGGTTGTGCATGGATTACCAGGTGCACGTGAGCAGATTCACCGGCAGCAGCTGGGGCTGTCCCTGGGAGCAGATGCCAACACGTATGCAGTGCAGCTCACAGAATTTTTATGGCAGAAAATGAGCAATGGGAAGAGGGGACCCAGGTTGCCTCTTGAACTCTGGGCTGAGCTTACAGGTTATCACTTCAAAAAAAGGCATCCTTTATTCCTGAGCAGCTCGCTACAAAAGACCTTGCATAACCCTGAGCAGAGAATGGTCTAACACAGACTGAGTTTCAAGCTGGAAACAGAGCTTTGAAAAACCACGGTGCTGCCAGATCCTTTCTTGGAATGAAAGCCTGGGTTTGCCAAGACTTAATTCTGACTCAGGAAATTTATGCCTTTTGTAGGAATTATTATTATTATTGTCTTTTCTTTTGTTTGTTTTTGATGTTGGGTAAAAAGGCTAAACTGGCCTGCTTGTCTTCCAGAGTTCTCCATTTAAACAACCAAAAAAAAACCACCCCAGCTTAAAAATCCCTTTTAAATAATAGCAAACTTGAATAATTTAAATAGGGCACTTCCCCCTCCCCCTTTATTTTCTTTCTTAGGAGGAAATTACATTCATGGTGTTTATTAAAAAAAAAAAAAACTGCCCATCATCATGTCTGATTTTATGGCTGCGGTAATTTATTCCCAGGATATCAGGCAGTTTCACAGTCTCATGCACAGAAGCAGCTGTGATGTGAGAAATTCTGAACTCTGGCAACACTAACTTGTGATGAAAGACCACCAAGAGGAGGTCAATGCTGATATTGTAACCCCTTCTAGGGCATTATTACCTCAGGGTCTGATAATGTTTCACTAACGGCGAAAACAGCTTTCTGCTTATATCTCTATAAGCTGGTTTTAGCAATTTGTCTCTAGTCAGCAAAGCCCTTAATGTATATTTAAACAGCTGTAGAATTAGATCTTGAGTGAGTAATATTTAATATTCTTAGGACAGCTTAACAACCTGATCCAAACCAAACTGCAGTCAGTGCAAGTTTTTATTGATTTCAGTAGGCTTTGAATCAGACTCCACAGAAATGGATTGTTCCCAGCTGTTATTATCTAGAATCCATGGCAAGAAGAAATACAGGAGGACACAGAGATTCATTAAATCATCATATGATGAAGTTTATTTTTCTCTGAGAACTTGCAAATACATATATATAAGCCACAGCATCCCCAAGATGATGACAGAGACCTTTTAGGGCTGTTTTAAAAAGTATTTTTTCCTTGTCTTTCTCTGTCAGTGGCTTGCTCAAAATCTCTGTTGACAAAGCACAGCAAATTCCTGACAACAGTCTTAAAGAGGCTGGTATATAAATAAAGATGTCTGAGAGAAGCCAAAAGCTATACTCTGATCTCTTTACACATCACATGTTTCGAGAGTGGCACCTTGGCTGCATAAATAATCCCTCTGGTGTCAACTAAGTTTTAGAATATAGAGGGGGTAGAGGCGGTGGGGAGGTAAGGAGAGAAATATCTAGCCCAAAGCTGGCAAAAGCTCTGCTGAAATGAAAGGATGGGTGAGAAGGAGGAGGGGGAGGAATTGTTTGCTAAATAGAAAAAGGCAAAATGACCCAACAGGAATAAACATTTTAGAGGGTCTTACAGAGAAGATGCTTTGCCAAATGCCGTCTCTTCAAATGCAGTTGAGTATCTTGCTCTGAAGTTCTCTGTAGCTTCCCTTCAGACTGTGTCTTTTTCTTTCTTTCTTTTGGGCATCATTTTAGAACTGAGCTCAGGACTTCCCCTTCTTTATGATGAAACTTCTCATCTGAAGAAAATAGAAACGGAGAGTATGAAGGTAGTTGGACCATGGCCAGCCCTGCACGTCAGCATGAACAAGGTATAGCATATACATATATACTTTTACATAGATATGCCAGAGCACCTTTGTCATTTCATATTTAAAAGATGCTGTTTTTTCACCTCAAATTCAAATCAACATTCATCTTCAACTGGCTTGCTTTTTAATCACCTCTCACCATCTTCTTATGGGACTGGGATTTGGTTTTTAGATTTAGCATTTCAATCAGCTTTGCCTTTTAAAATTTCAGAAGCTGCTTCAACAATGTTATGCTATAGTTTTAGTTTAGTTGTGAAGAGTTAGTCATCTAGGCAGCCTAGAGCTGTAAAAAAATAACAACACTTTAAGTGATAAAAAAAATCTTGTTTTTCTACATGAGGAGTCCGTGTTATGCCATAAACTCCCCCTGGCATCTGAAGTTAGTGGGTGTTTTATGAGACAGTTTTTGCAGAGGTGGCCAAACAGCCATGTCCTGCTGCTTCTGCCAGAGATCAGCAAATCATTGTCTCCTTGTATCCATGTGAGGCTAAATCCACTGTTCCTGAACTGGGAACCCTTGTTCTGAATCTGGACCAAGATCTTTGGTTTACAACCGCACAGGTCCTGAGCTGGACCCTGTGAATTCAATGAGAGCATTGCCACTGTCTTCAAAAGAGGTAGGTCCTGGCCCCCAGTGACTCTGTATAGACTTTTTAAAAGAAAAATGGTGTTTTGAGAGTTCTTTGTCAGCTCAAGAAAGAACTCAATTATTTTACCTTGGTTTTACAAACAGCCTTTTGTTGATATTATTTCAAGAAGCATTAGAGAAATTAAAATCCAAGGGAACACGACCAAATGTACCAAAAATACAAGCACAAAGGGACTATATATCTATAAAGCAGAATCTTTCTCTTCTCTGTATGAGAGATTCCAGGAGATGGAAGTCAAGGCTAAAAATCAGTGAGCCAGGTGTTTCTAATGCAAAAATTAAATATTGGAATTTTTTTCAACATTACAGTTAATTGAATTTATTCTATAATGCAAGGGATTTACTAGCATTAAGATTTCCTTGAACCATGTTCATTGTTTGTCATAGGATTTTGGTGTAGTTCAGATATGGACTGCAGTCCTTATGCCTTATTAATGTAGTCATGAAGTAATGGCCTGTGTCATGATTTTGGGGGATTTCTCAATGAACAGAGGATGGCAGAATATTTTAGACTTTCTCCCAAATCTATTTGGTTTTCACCTGTGATGAGTTCTAATTTTGTCTAGCTCAAGTGGGAATTAAAAAGATAAATCATAAAAGTCAACAAACTGAGGTGAAATGGGAAAGTAGTCACCTTTCATTCCTGTGTGCATTTCTCAAGTTCATCTTCTAGAAATATTCTCAACTGGTAATAAGTAAGGCTTTTTATAGGCAAAGCTTGCTAAGCACTGACATCATTTGCCAAAGGAAAATTCTCCATCTCAGACTCATCCAATGAATACCCAGGTGTTGTAAGAGGACTTGTGTAGTTCAGATGTGATTACTGATACTCTATCTGAACACCAGTGGAGAACATTTGCTCAGGTGCAATGTCCAAAACATGCTTTAAAGGACTGTCCTACACTATTGAGCTCACTGAGAGCTGAGTTTGGCATATTTAAAAGGCAAAAGTGAAGATGTGAAAGGTCTCCCTCCACACTGACCACAGCGCACAATTGGGCAAACCAATCTGACCTATGCTGCACAAAAGGTTTAAAGATGCGACCTTAATGGTACCCCTGTGATTTCAAAATTAGTAGATTTATGGTCTGTCTTCTTTCTTAAACTGAATGCTTGAAACACTTTGGTCCTGTATCCCACCATACTGTGCAAGTAATCCAAATATTGTACCTGCAACTTCTGCCTGATCTCTGATCCTCTTGCTCGTTCATATTAACTGCAAGTCTGTGAAGGGAGGACTCAGCTCTTTTATAATTAAAGGTTTTCTTTGGCTTGTCCTGACAGCTCTAGAATCTTGTCCACAGTCAGACGGATTATTCATTTAAGGACTAATTAGCAGAACCCAGTATCATAACAAGTCAGAGCTTCACAATAAATGCAGCTGCAAAGTAAATGCAGCCTGTGTCTGCTGTGATGAGTCTGCCATCAGTCAAAGTTTAGCTGATGAAAAAGTCTTGTAATGAGCACCAAGAGATGCTAAATGCTTCTGTTTCTGGCAGAAGCTCAGCAAAAGGCAAGGCTAGAGACATGGGCTGTCTAATGAAAACTCTTCCCTGGCAGTCATAGAGGATTTGGGTTTAAGAGCTGGGCAGCATTCCCATGAACAGCAGCTACTATGTGAATGGAAAAGAGGCCAGCTCTTAAAAAATTATTAAAATTACTATTTTTAGCAATCTGAAAATTGTACATACTCTTGAAACTGGCCCAGAGTCACCACTGGAAAGCATTTCAGTGATCCAGACCTTACATTACAGGCCATGGGTTGTGACCAACAAATCATTCTGAAATTCTTTTGGCCTTTCACTTGTGGTTTCTTCTTCAAGCACCATTGTCTGACCTAGATTCTGTGTACAGAGCTCACAAAGCTAAAACAAACAAACCACAAGTCTCTGATCTCTGAGCAGAGCCTGGAGTTGCCTCAGCAGATGACTTCTCCAGTGAAAGAGAGAGACTTGCTGCAAATATTGAGCTAACCTTGGGCTGAAATGCCATAGAGTACTGCCCAGCAGAAAGGTAACAAGGCAGGTTAGGCTGGATTGAACAACCCCAAACTGTGACAAGAATTTTTAACTGAGAGTGGGGCCTTTAAAGTTCTTTTGATTATGGTAGTTAACTAACTACTCAGTCCAGCAGCAAACAGATTTCAATGAGTGTTCAACGTTGTCTAGTTTCTGGCAAAAAAATGAAGACTTAACTCCTCTCCTGCACCACTCCATTGATTTCTGGTCTACTAAGGGCTTTTTATGGCCTGCTATTGCATCCTCCAAAATATTATGCTTAAATAAAACTAGTGAAGCTGTTACAAAGCTGTTTCATTTACTCTGTTTTTGATTAAAAAAAAAAATGAACCATTTCCACATCTGTTGTGGAATCCCAATTTTCACTCCCTCCTTTACAGTTGCTAATTGTTATTTTTTCAAGCAAAGTGCTTTCAGGCTGGAATTTGCCAGGCTTCATAATAGACCCATAGGAGAATTAGCAAGAAATTGGGTAAATTAGATTCTGCAGTTAATTAATTTGATTGTCTGCTACAGCAAACTTTGTCTCATGGGAATGATGAATGGATGTGTCCAACCTCTTTTCCAGAGCTGTTTGGTATGGTGTATGTGTCTGTCCACCTACTAAATGATGAAAGTCTGTTTCAACTTGTGTTTCATACCCTTTTGTGCTAGCAGAGTCCTTAATCTCCAAGACAGACAATCCTAAGTGTTGTAGTTGTGAATGTATTTCTGATTTTCTTCTTGGAAGCCTTTCATTAGAAAAATATGTTCTCCCATCCCCCGTTGCTTTGTGTGTGTGTGTGTGTGGTGTGTGTGTGTGTATGATATAAAGCCAAGAATGTATTGTTAGCATTTCTGAAATCTTGGGAGTCTAGTAATTATTAGCCCAGCTGTAATTATTGCATAAAAATAAAGAATAATAATGCATTTCAAATTGTTTCTACCTCTTTTCCTGATGTTATGGTCACCCTTTCCCTACAACTGTGGGTCCTAAGGTTGGTGATTTCATTTTGGTGGGGTGAAAGAATTATGATAGTCATAGAATCATGGAACTTCTTAGGTTGGAAAAGACCTTTCAGACCATCATGTCCAACTGTTAAGCCAGCAATGCCAAGTCCAACACTAAACCATGTCCCTCAGTGCTACATCTACACATCTAAATACCTCCAGGGATAGTGACTCAGCCACTTCTCTGGGCAGCCTGTTCCAATGTTCTCTCCGGCATGTCCATGTCTTCTTCTTTTTCCTCACTCTACAATATACTTTGAGCCCTTTTGCATGTTTTCAAACAAGCCTTTACATCTTGCTCTTTCTTCATTGGTCTACATATCTTCTCATTCCACCCAAATTTACTGTATGTGGTGGCTTTTACATATATATGCTATAAATTATGTCTTCACTCTCTTTATTGTCCCTAAACCCAAATTTGTCCAGGTTCAGGTCTGCACTTTAACTGGCCATTGATGATTTGTTTATAGCCATGGGTCTCCAGTGCCAGACTGTGGCCTTTGTGCTATCACTCCATATCAGTGCTCTTCTAGACCATGTTCTGTGTCTTCCCTTCTCAAAACTCCTGTTTTCATATAAGCCCTACATTGCTTTAAACTACATGTTTGTGTTAGAGTCATAAATGTCTTATTCTACAAAAAAATACTGGTGTTACTGCTTTCTGTATAAAATTATTGCTGCTACAGCTAATCTTAGTGGAGCAAACCTGCAGGCAGATTGAGAAAAGTCCAGATAGAGGCAGCTAGATGAGCCTTAACGTTTTTGTAAACTCTGCTCAGAACTTAAAGCCTTTTGCTACCAGGGCAAAACTGTATTATAGGACTGCCCTATTACATAGGTCATCTGCTTCCAAATGACACCACCTCCAAAAATCTGTGGAACTACCTGCTCCCTGCATAACAGCAATGCCCAGAGCCACCAGGGTTCAAAAAATAATTTATAGTTTAAGAAAACCCACAAAATTAACCTATCTTTTAGATGTACCTGAGACTCTTCTGTGTGATACACAGATTAGAGGGTATATCCCAGGGAACACAGCCTACCATGGTCCTCTAAGACTGTCATAAATCTCATAGTGACAGAGGTAGGATTTAATAATATTGAGCAATAGCATTTTATAAAATAAATTTGATACCAAAAATTAAAGAGGTTTACTACAGGGATATAAGCATAACAAGATTTATTGGGAGTTATATTTTTCATTAGACCAACTAATAGCTAACCTGAGGAAAGTATTCTATGTCTGACAGCTTAATGTAGGGTTTGTTTGTTTGTTTTTTCAATTGTACTTTTTTTTCTAATAAAGAAGATGTAGTTTCTGCTTGTAAACTTTACCTCAAATAAGAATAACACATAATTGTACAGGTCTTATTGCGGTACCTGTTCATAATTGGTGTTAGCTGCCACATGGTTAAAAGCAATAAATTTCCTGGTGAAAAAGGGACAAAAGAGTCTGTAGATTTCTATGCACATTTTCAGATGTAGTTGAGTCCCAGGAAACCTCACTTACCTAATGTGCTTTCAGAACCTATATATTTGTGTTGTCTTTGTTAAAATTTTGCCTCCTACTAGTAGTGATGACTAGCAACAAAAATAGACCTGCATTCCTAAAGAAAATATTCATTATATTCTTCAGTTCTCTCCATTAAAACACATGTTTTAAACATGATGTTTGTCTAAGAAGAGGCTATCAATAAATTCACAGAGGCACAAGATCATGAATCTTGCTCTTGGTACAAAGTTTGATGTAGAAAAAAGTATGAACCTTTTAAAGCAGAACTTGGAAATGTTATCTACAGGAGTGGTATTGCTGTGTTTCATGCAGCTATTTTTATATTCTGTATGTGTACTTAATATTCACTTAGCTTTGCAAACCAAAGTCAGTGTCATCGTTATCTAACACTGCAAATCTGCCTTCAGGTCTAGTATTAGCAAATGTAATTGAATTTAAAGTAAATTTTTGGGAGGAGAAACAGCAAATTTAAGACTTCAGTTACAAAAACAAAAAATGCCTCTAATTTTATATGTGTATATATCTGAGCTTGTTTGACTTTTTCCATTTAAATGCAATTCTCCATTGTTCTCCTTCCATGGAAAAATAAAATTCTGCATTGATGGTGAAAAAATGTAAACACATTGCTGTTATTGAGATCAGCAAAATTGGACATGGAAAACTGGAGTTTTATCAGGAAGCCTAATGGGTTTTTTCTTAATTTCTAAACCTTTTAGAATGAGTTTAGTTTGAAATGCTAAGCAAGAGTATCATCTCTTTCAAATGCAAGTTTGACTCTAGGACTTTCACTTGAAAGGGGTATCTAAGATTCTTTTGAATTGTGACTAAAAAGTTATAAAATAGGAAGTTTCATTAACATCCTGCCATGCTTAGCATTTTAATATTTTCCAAATAGAATACTTTGAGTGTATAAATTAAATCAAAATGTTAACAACTGCCAGCCTGTCTCAACAAATTAATACCTAGCTGTTCTCTTTCTGCTGAGAGCAGTGAAGATTCTGGAAATATAAAATTTCTTTATTATATAGAAAAATAAATAAGGATACAGCTTTCATTCTTGTAGCAATAGTATGTGGACATTCCTAATGCAGACAGGTTTTTGATCTTTGATTTTCTTACAAATTAGTGAAATGAACCACAGAAGATTCTGCATGTGCTTTTGTAGCCATGAAATATTTTTTTTTCTTTTGCATTCTTTATGTCAGTTATACTTTAACAATAAATAAAGTTAAATTGGGAGATGAATGAGCTTGTACGTAAAGATTAGTGGCATTAGGGAAAAATAGGAACTTATATAGATGCTTAAAAGTGATAATAGTCTGCAATAAAGAGGTTCTGCTTTGTTCTGTGATTAAAGTTTACTTTTCATCTGGATCGTCAGTGCCACTGACTCTGTGTAATAGTCTCAGCTATTCAGCTGTGGGAGAGCAGAATTCAGCAATGATTCAGGATGTGCTACTCTGTGGCTGAAAAGACTGCCAAGGCAGGCAGGCCAAGAAATCTTTGACGTGTTCAGAAGCTAAAGAAGGCCGGGTCAGGCCAAGCACTCCCACGCCCCGTGTTAAAGCAAGTTTTGCTTGCTTGAAGGTGAAACCCTTAAAGTGTGACCCAAACAAGGACTAAAGCAGAACTGAATACCCAGCACTGGCTTCTGAGAAGTGTGCACCTTCTAGCAGCAGCTTTCTCTTTCAGCCAGGTCAGCCACCCATCAGTATTTGGACCTCTCAAGAATCTCAGTGTGGGACTTGCACATCAGATCTCACACTGAGGATCTCTGTTAAATGGAGTCATCTGCACAATACTGAATAGAGCAGGAGATTTAGATATTTTTGAGGATTCCCATATATAGGGCAGCCCTGGGACTTTTTATTTTCCTCTTGGTCAATATGGGGAAATTAGGCAGTGGAAAAAGAGCAATAGGACTGAAAAATATCTATATCCATCTGAATAACAGAGGGATGTGACTTGGGAACGTTTCTTGTTATGAAATAAGCTTGTCTCCCAAACAAGCCCCAATTGTTTTGCTATAGAAAGTAAAATACAATTGTTTATTTTTGCTTGACTGAAATGTTATTAATTAGTATACAGTGTAAAAACAAAGGTGAGATTTTGCATGGCCTTTAAAAATGCCACTGCTTAATGTGTTGTTTTTTCTGCTGTTAGAAATCAATACACATGAATGTTGGCAGTAATAACAGTCTTTTTAAAATGGGTTCACTTTATCTACCAAGAATATCAGTGAAGTAAAAGCTGTGCTTTCTTTACAAATAATTTTGTCCATTTGATTATCTCCACTTCTCAACTTCACAAGTATCCCAGGAAAGACACCTATGGCAATCAAATATTTCATGTTTGGGTTTGGTGGTTTGTTTTCTTTTCATATACTTGCCAAACTATTGTTTTAATCAAGACTGAATAGATGACTACAGTTCCATAAGTTGCTCCAGCTAGACACTGTCACTTTTCATTTTATGTATTTTCTTTTTCCCTTAGGGGGAGACTGGGGAGAATGGGAAGTCCAAATATATTTTCCTCTAAACAAAGTAAATGTAGCTTGACAAATAAACATGTAAGAATTATTAGGAATTTGGCAGAGATAAAAAAAATCTCATGATGAGTAGTCTTTTAACAGACAGTTGTTCAAAATCATACCTGGCAGCTATGGAATTTTGGAGGCAGAAGGTTGCTAGACCAACTTTGCTTGCACATAAATATCTTGCAGTCTCAACAGAGTTCTGCTAAGGTCTGGCCCTTTCCCTCCCCAGAGTTTGCTGAGCAGTTTCCTTAAGCAGCACAATTGCTTTTGGAGTGACTTGCTCCACTTTCAGAAAGTGTTCCCTGAACCTTGATATTCCCATTTGTCTGTGCGTGCTCGAGGACCTGAGAGTCAGTAAGATTGTAGTTACCATCAGCCAGTGGCATGCCATGAGGGAGAGCAGAAGGAAGGATAAAGGAGATAGATTTTGAAGTGAAAGGGCTAATCATATGGTAATTTCAGTAAAAAAAATGATTGGTTCTGTCTTTAAATACCTGGCAGAGGTAAACCTCGAGGATCACTGGACCTGGTGTTCTGATGCATTGTACCTGTTTTGGCTGAAATCTGAATGACAGCATTGCATATCTGTTCTGTCTGGGTGTATACAACCACTCACCCTTCTCAGCCATGACAGCAGAAAATAAATGCACAATCTAGGCTCTTACTCATCTATAATTCAGGTGTCACTTCCAGGAAGAATAGGGAAGTTTACAATGGCTGTTATGCCATTGTCCAACTAGTCTCTAAAAATATGTGACATATTACAGTTTGATTGCATAAGAGTTAATGTTTACTATCCTGGTCTCATCATACTCTCTTTGTTGATACATTAGTCTTACATTGTCTTTCTTTTTGCTTTCCTTTTGTGCATGGGAAGTTTATTCATGTGGCATTTCTGACATTTCTGCTGGATATAGTTTGTTCAAGGCACAAAACCTTTAGGTCATGTTTGACCAGGGCACTACACTAGCTATCCTGAGGCCAAAATTTCTGATTCAGATCACTGTGTAGGTAAAGTATTATTATCAGGTGGAAACAGCATCATAAATATTTAAAGTTCTTTGATTTTTCTTTACTTTCTGATGGAGATTTCACTTGGCTTGCAATTAAGTGGAGATTCCTTCTCATTTCTCTGGTTAAACTTGCAAAGTTTTCATTTTAAGGGTGGTGTAAAAAGCCAGTGCTCACTATAGTTGTGCTGTTTGTTCTTCTGCCTTCTGTGGGATATTTTGAGACAATGTTTTGTTTCCTCAGTGTGATCACAGGTTTGAACAACCACTCCAGGGCCTGGCTGGGCTTTTTATTCCACATCATATTCTTGCTTCTATTACTCAGGCTTCCCTGGGGCTATTTTTGTCTTGAACATAGTATCAAGTCATTAAATATTTAGAAAACTTCTAAGATGTATCTATCAGGGTATGAATATGGAAGTTTTAGTCAGTATTGGTGAATCAAGTTATTACAAGTGAAATTTAACCTTTGATAATTTTATGAACTTATCTTTCTAATGTATGTCACTGCTTGTTTAATAAATACAGGCTGAAGAAAAGAAGGTAACAGAAAAGACTCTTCATGCCCCTGTGTCACCTTCATCTGTACCTGACCATTTGAAGTGCAATATCCTAAAAGCTCAAGTGGAAGCTGCTTTTAGAGTAGGTGCCCAGGTAATCTGTGTTTAATACTCTGCTTTTTTAGTTTTTGCATAACTTTCACCAGTTTTCCAAGATCCCATCATTCCTCCTGAGGAAGCACCTAATTTTTAGTCAAGTATGCACGTTGACTTAGCATTCTCTAGCTATTCTCTAGCTATTCTAGCATTCTCTTCAGGTAACTCAAAACAATTGATATGATGGAAGTTGGAAATTTATCCTAACTGACATGATTAATACAGCCTTAGGAGAGACTAAGAAAATAGGAAAGATGGCCTCAGGAAATCTCTGTTTTGTCACTGTAGCTTTTAGCTACTTTGTAGCTTAAAAAGAGTAACCTCTGGAGTTTTCTGAGGCTACCCACTACTCATGGAAACTGGGGTTAAGATTGTTCTAATGATAATATCTGTATATCCAAATTCAACCTTTATTTCAGGGGATGAGCTTTAGATGCTTGAGTGTGAAATATTAGCTAGTCTTTTGCTTTCCTACTTGTTTGTGTGCTTTTAACTAAATTTTAAGCTTCTATTTTCACAGCTTGGTTAATGTTTACATTAGATACATCCTGTTTCAAAAATACTCTTTTAATAATGCCATACAACTGAAAACTGGTGGTAAATAACATGACTGTAAAAAGTTATTTTCCCAGTCAGAACCTGGAATCTAAAATGTGTGGTTCTTCTTAAGTGAAATTTGTGGACAAAAGATAATGCCATTTGTGCCAAAAAATAAAGCCAAATACAAAGTTTTAGGAAGAAAAATAGATGTAGAAAGATTGTTATAATGCTATCCCAAGTTCCTGTGGTATCCTTGAGCACACTATTCTCTTTGAATACAAATTATGTTGGTATTTCCATTGTTTTGTTTCTTTTCACCAGGTCAACTTGCCCTGCAAAGAACTTTGTTAACAATTAGCTTTGTGTATTTCTTGTTCCCTGGCATATCTTTCATTTGAGAGCTACATTACATCTGGTCTAGCTAGATCTAAGGAAGCAGCAAAATTTGGTTATTCTGACTGCCTTAAATTTCAATAGCAGAAACCTGGCAGAATAACGAGAAAAGAATTGTTTGGGTGATTTTTTTTTCTTTCCATATTTGCTTAAAGCAGTTCTCTCACCTCTCTGAACTCTGTGTTGCATCAACTGTATTTTATGCAGCATATTTTTGCCCTTGGGTTACCTTCTGTTTTTCCTGTGTTTTTTCTACAGGATGTCACGGTATACTTCTCATATTTGTATTTTCTCTTGAATATGCTTAATGGTCATGTTTGACTGGATAGTTAAAGGCTGGAAGCAGTGTGTGCTGCTGCATTCAGAATACATTATTAAGGCAAGACAGGAAATGTGCTTAACATATGCATCTCTCAATTGACCTGCTCTGCCTTAATTTTTCAGTCCGAGGCTTTCCAAGAGAAAGCCTCCTAGGTTGCTTTTTCTGCCATAACCATATTCTTTAACTGTTGCTAGGTTGTAAATAACTTTTAGAGCAAATTGAGCATTCCTCTCTTCCTTCTTGCCTGTGTTGTTTTTCACAAAGCTTTGAAAATCAAATTGGGTTAAGTATATGTCTGTGGATTTGCCCTCGATGAGAAAAATCTTCCTATTTCAGGGGAAGGAAGGTAAATAAAACTGTTGCAGTATAGCATTTATTGTTGAAAAATAATGGCATAAGGTTCAGTTTGAAATCCCTGAAACTTTCACTGCTAACAAAGTGTGGCTTAAGATTTATAGCCGGTAAAATAGGAAGTCACCTTAATCTTTGAAATCCTCATTCAACTATCTGCTTAGCCACAAAATTGCCTGTGTAACTAGAGATGAGTTCTTCTGCACTTGAGCTCCCCTCCTGTCAATTATAAAAGATCAGATACGTTGCAAAAATAAGCAGGCAGAGACCAGGCAGTGATCAGCTGTTACAGTAAGAAGCTGTGGCTATGAAAGCATTGAAAAGGGTAGGAAAAATGGTGATGGTGAAGGAACCAGTGCAAACACAACATTGATCTTCTAGAATGTGTGAGAAGGGAAGGCAGCTACAGGAGGTCCTGATAAACCACTGTATTTGATACCATAAACCCACCCAGTTATCTTCTTTACCTGCCCCCAGCACCTCAGACAACTAGCTGTATACCAATAGATAAGCCATTTCCCAGTGGCAGTTCAGTCATCTTCTGAGAAAAGTGAGCTGGGTTGGAATTACACTGCTGAGACACAGCATTCTTTCAAGGGAGCAGATAAGGAATAATTTTGTTCATGGAAGACAACTATTTAACTTTATATGCTCCCCCAGGGCTGTGATCCTGCCCCTCTTTGACCCCATCTGATATATCTTGCTGCTCAGTGTATCTGGAGGACTAATGATGATCTTTGCCCAATTCTACCTTTTGATGCCAGTTCCATATTATATCCCTGAGAAGTCTTGCCTTCTGTCCTTATTCTTAACACTCCACTTTCTCATCTCTTCTTTTTTGTACTGTCATATTTCAATTTACTAGGCAGTCAGAGCAAGAGGTATATCTAGGGTCTGTAAGGCACAGCCTGTATTTCTCGAGTTGTAAAGCAAGGCAGCCTTGCTCTTCCTCATATAGAGCACAGTTATTCCCATATTTCATAATAGCTCAAAAAGATAAAAAAATAAGAAAGGGAAAAAAAGATAACTTGCTCGTCTAGTTTGTAAAAGGAAGAAGAAAGAAACATTCTGTCTTATGCACATTGATGTTTGAAAGGAAATGTTCTTCTAAGGGCCCCAAAAAAATCTATGGTCTAACTCGTTCTTTTTGAAACTTCATGGGGCATCTTCATTATATGGTTAGGTTTAAAAGCATGAGAAAAATATTGGTGCACTGTAGGATCACATCCAAAATTAACAAACTGTTGCTTGAAGTATTTGTAACAGCTCTTCCTTCAAGCAGTAGGAATATTTTCAATACCATATGCTACTAACATCAGGATGTGACAAGTTTATGAAAGCACCTCCTGCGTGTAGTAGAAGAAGCTGTTCTTGTTAATTCAGAGAATGGAGTAAATGTTTGCAAATGGAAAATATAAGTTGGGACAGAAATGTTTTGTAGTTTACTTTTTTTTTATTGCAACTAGGCACCAACACAAGAGAGAGCCTTAGAAATGAATGATTCCAGTGCTTACGATTTAAAAAATGAAACCAAGGGGAAATGTTGCTAGCCATTTGAAAATATATCCTGGAATATGATTTCTGTGCTTCTTCATTTCAGAATTGTGCTGAAGAGCTTACCGCATTCCTAGGGGACAATACATCTCCCACAGTTATAGCCCTGACTTAGAGGCAGAAAATTTGTAAGGTTATGGTGCTCTGCTTGTGGCTTAGGGTTATAGAGCATCAGAAAACTAACATGAGTGAGGTTTGTTTTTTTTAATTTGTTGAAGACAGGAATATTTATGTGCTACTCATCTAAATGCAGAATCAAACTGCAGTGTGCACAGAGATGCTGGAAGCTAGATCTAGGAGCTTACTGCCATGGACACAGCAGCTGGGGCATGCCATAGTTACCTGTAGGGCTAGAGCAAATGAGTAATGTTTCACAACACACCTCTCAAACTGTGCCACAGGGATCTGCCACCTTTTAGCTGACAGACTGCATGTCACAGTTGCCACATAATTAAGCTCCAGGGGAGCCTTAAACACTGTGAAGCAACTGACATATCTTTTTTTTTTTTTTTTAAGCATATATTCCAGACTCTTCATTTGAGAGGTACTCATATAATGAAGCAGTAAGGAGTTGTCAGAATACAAAAGACCAGCTCTCCCTAACATTTAAAACCCCTTTGCAGCTTTCATGAGTCAGTGCTGATATGCTGTGATTGAGCAGCCATGACTTGTTGGTATCACAGAGTCCCTTTTGCCAAAAAGTTCACGGCCTAAGTGATGAAGGAAAGAAACTTGAAGGTTTCAGTTGCTATTTCTATTCATTTTGGCTTTGGATAAATCCTAATTATCCTTAAAATTAAGCACAGGGTCCTGAGCAAATGTACAGCTATCTCAGCAGGGCTTTTTATTTTGGCAGGCATTTTTCTAGCAGTTTATCATCTACAAGTCGTGTCTGTATTCTGCACCTGTTACCTGGCTTTCCTAAATCCTTGGGTTGATATATGTCCAGCAAGTTAGCACAGGGAAGGATCCCTTTTCTCACAGATTTCTACTGCAGCTGATTTTTGCATCACTCACATCTTCCTCTTGTCTGCAGACAAGGGAAGGCCAAGCTCATTCTGCAGGTACATTTTTGCAGTGCAGTTTAAAGAAGATAAATGGAGGTGACATTACTACTGTGCTACATTATGGATTGTTTGCTGAGAAAAATTGAGAAGAGGTGGTTTGGGGCTGCAGGGTCCTTACAAAAGAGCATACAAAATCCCCTTTATTTCTCCCTTTTCAACCCCCATGGAAACTCTTGGCCAGGGAGAGATATCTTCAATCAGCCAGGTTATCAAGCCATTGAATCCCCTGCTTGGTTCTCAGTAAACAAAGGGACATTTAGGCTGAACAAAGGGAAGTTCAGTCCTCTAACTCCTTTCACACTCTAGCTTTCTTCACAAGCCTATACACATGTAAATTTTTTAGGCCAGGTCGATAGCCATCTCTCTCTTTTTTCTCCCTTTTCTAGAAACAAGTACAGGCCGAATATCATGTAGGTTTGTCTTAATTATTGCTAATATGTGAGTAAATGCAGGTTGTCTGTGCTGTTTAGAGTTGTCTTGAGGAAAGGACAGGTCCGTAGTACAGAAAATACCTCAGGTCATGCAGGATACCAGTGTCATCCTGTACTCTCTACACAGATGCAAGCCATGGCTGCAATGTAAATGAGACATCTATGCATTATTTATGGTAGAAAAGGTGCATAAGTGAGGTGATCCACAGTGCCAGTCTGTCATGACTACATTTCTGATGATTCTCTTTTAGTGTTCTGCCTCCTTTAAGGAAAGAGTCAAGTGTAAGGACTTGACATCTTCAAAGTCCAGATGCTTTTGCCATGCATTTCTAGAAAAAAT